TATATACTATACTGTCAGTGCAAGTTTGCCAATATTCTGCCTTAAAATAAATAGAATTTGTCTGGTTTTGGTTTAGCTGCGGGTGTACAGTGGCAGATCCAGACCTGGTTAAAAAATTACAAATTAGTTACAAATTAGAGGTATCCACCCTGCGATCGAGTAGAGCCTCCTTTTGTCTTTATGAGTGAGAAGGGGGAAAGGAGGTTCGCATTGAATCGCAAAAAGCCTTTGAGGTCTCCGAAGCCCGAACTTCTGGGCTATTCAATCGTGCTTTTTCTCGTCAAACTGGTTCTTCGAGGGCAAGCATCCGTTTATTGACAAACCGAAGGTCATAACTGAGCCCCCTGTCTCAAGGGCACAGATATTAGGCCTGGGTTCGAAACTATATTTCAACAACAAGCAGCACATACTTCACAGAAATCTCACTTGATTGATACAGAGTCTTACTCGAGTACCCAAAAACTGAAATGAAAAAAGAAAGCAAGGAAAGGCGCCCCCGCCTCCGGTTGATCCTCCAGTAGAGTGGTGAAATGATAACTATGTAGAATTGTACCAGCAAATCATGAAGTGAATTTTCAAAAGAATATGTTGCAAGATAATATTTGCGGCGTTTGAGCTAAATATTTCTTTTCTATACAATGGAAAAGTATGAAGTGAAAAGATATAGAGGATATTACACGGTGGCGCGAAGATATGAATTTTATTTTCGAGTGGCAAAACAATATTTTACGAACGAGCGCAACGAGTGAGTAAAATATTGTCTTTGCCACGAGAAAATAAAATTCATATCTTCAAGCCGCCGTGTAATGTTCGTTTTATTATATAGACTGAAAAGACATCGATAAAATAATAGAGGGAAATTACCGAAATTACGTCATCGATAAACTCAAGTGTGAGATTATGGAAAATAAACCACTGGGATCCCGGATGTAGTTTTTATGAATTTTACGAATGGTATATTTTCCAGTAAAACACACGTGTCTATATAATAAAACTAATTAATTCTTACATGAAGAGCACTCAGTGACTCTTTCGCGTTCTTTTCCTTTCGTTTTTCATCCGGCATGCCTTGAATGAAGCGAAGATCGTATGAAACCTGAATGACATTTACAACAACAGAATTATTAAACAAACATAGGTCTTTAAGATATATTTTATTATAACGCGTTACTGCTTTCCACTTCAGCTGAATGCAGCCTAAACTTAACGCGCGAGAAGCCTGGATACGAGCAATTAGCAGAGAATTTGGGATTTGGGTGAAGAATCGGATACGGAAATATGTCCGATGTTTAGGGATGTTACGGGGGATTTCTGCTAATATAATATACCAGGCGGAATAGCAATCGAAATTGAAGCCTTTCTCCTGGTTACCCCTAAAGATCAAATACTACTGGCAAATTTAAAGAGTTTACATTGGAATTAGAGAAAATAGGAAGGATTCGTGTTTTGTTAAATTTTCCGCGTGGAAAGTTTGCCGTCTTCAAATTCCATCAGAGAAAAATATTGAGAAGATATGCTTGGTTACGTGCAATATAGATTTCCCATCATTGCCGTTTGGGCTGCCTTTTCTAAAAGGCTTGGAAGTGTTTCCTGTAATGAAGTTACCTTGTAATCTTCATCTTCTGGGTCACCCTCTTCGACAATACAGCGATCGAGAAATTTCTGCAGAAAATAGTAGAGACAAAAAAACAAAATAAACTTTAGATGTTGTCCTTCAGCCTCATATATATTTGGAAATGTCAATGTCAGGAGCCAATTCTCCTGACAATATTTAAAATCAGGTAAGGCTTTTGACTGCTCAAAAATTGCAATAAAGTTTAAATCCGTGCTTTCGCGGATCGACGGAAAAATCTGTTATATCAATTATAACAGCAGTTAATTAAAGGCTGCATTTGATTCTCAACATTGTTAAACAGACAAAAAAATCATTCCTCTGAATTCCTCTACAATTGTGTTGGCCGCGGAAGTTTTAACTTAAGAAGATAAAACTTTGCAGCACACGTTTTATAACTGCTAGTGATTTGAACGTAAAACATAATTCAATTACTTTGTTTCATCCCACCTAAATTTAACAAATGAAGTATCAGAAAATTCTCCGAAGAAATCAGGTACCTTTAAAAGACAGTTTTGTTTATTCAATTTATAATTAATTTATCTATGCTCTCATCTTCTGAATGAAATATCCAAATGAAACGGTTTCTGTAGCTTCTTTCTTATCGATGAGTTAAAGTAGATTTCCACACTCGTCAGTCGGACAACTTTTACGTGCGTAACTATATAATGACAGAGATGATGCACGAAAGCCTGCGGGTAAAGTTTAGTGGGGTTCAACTTTTATGCTTACGCACGACCTTCCAACCGTTACCTGTACTTTATTTACGTAAGTAAGAGCCCATGAACGTGAAAGCAGAAATCAGCTTTAAGACCAACATAAGCAAGCAAGGGGAAACGCTTTTATCAATTGACTAACGTAAATGGTTTGTCAAATTTAAAGTTAAGTCGAGCCATATACCTTTGCTACTTCCGGCATGTGCTGGACAAGAAGCTGAATCTGAGTATGCGAACCATGTGTGGTGGTGCGAAGAACTTCCTTCCATCTAGAAAACAAGATTTCACATCCCGTGAAAATATCTACAAACGTTTTTACTTGTTCGTTTTAGGTGCTTAAAAAGAGCGATCGATAATAGGCCATGGCCGCCAGTGAGACTTGAAGTCACTTTCGAGCAAAAGGAAGCTTAAGCAACGACAACGGCGACGGCAACGAGAACGGCAAAAAAGCAGTTGGTTCAGATTGGCAAAAACAACAATTTTGCACGTACATCACGCTTTTCTGTTCATTTCTTTGCCATGGTTGCACGACTACGACGTGAAAATGCCTGATCTCACGTTTTGTGGAGGACGTGAACACAAGACAACAACCGTCTTTTGCTTTTCCTGAACTTTGATACAGTCCTTTAGAATCTAACTCCAGACAAATTCGCCAACATTTGACGAATTTACGAAAAGGAATAAACGCGATGAAGTTTGAACCAGCACAAACAAACTTTATTACTGACGTTTTCGAAGCCGTAGCCGTTGTCATTGCTTTAAAAGCTCCTAATCGTTGTTGGTCGGAGACGGCGGCAAATCCAGATTTTGTTTTGTTTGCTAATTTAGTGGTCTCTTCAAACTCTACAAGAAAATTAACATCAAGACTGCTGAAATTGTTTTAGCACCTTGAATTTTTTTTTATTGAATTTGTCTTGATTTTCGAAAGTGGCGGGTTAAATTCAATTATGGTGGATTCAAGATGGCGACCTTTAGGAGTAGCGATGAGGTGAAGTCACGTAAAAAAAACTTAACGTTCGGATTATTTTGCCAAATCTATTTTATCAATTTAAGTTTCATTGGCACGTTTTCTAATAACAGGAGGGGTGAGATTTTAGTCTGAATAGCGTCAATTTAGGAAACCACGTATACAAGTCGCAAACAGAAGCTGGTCTCTCTATAAAATCAGTCTTCAAAGGTACTGTTTGAAAATAAATGTCTTTCCCACCTTTTGTGTTCTACTATCGCCAACGCTACGGCTTCCTGTCGTGCCTCGATAGCAATATCCAAGATATTCTGGTTTCTCTCGTTTACTGAAACCAGCTGTTCTGGTTTAGAGAGAAGGTATTTTAGGATTTCAGCATGACCTCCTTTGGCTGCCATGTGGAGAGCTGTGTTCTAGGAGAAAAATAAAAGTGAAATTAATTCAACTGCAATAAGTAAGTGCGCAGAGTAGTTCGTACAGACCTTCCGAAAAGACAGTTTTTGGCTTTTGCATTTTTACAAGCGATTAAAACTGATAACTGACAAACAAACAAATCCAAAGAAATCAAATTATTCGGCTAAACTGATAACCAAGCCGTCAGTCAAAAAAAAAAAAATGCAAACAAACAAACATATTCTTTAGGTATTGACTATAACTTCAAAGTTATAAATAAATGCTCTTATGAATGCAAATAAAGTGCAATTTACACACTGAGGGAACATATGAGGCAAACCAAACACGACAGCTTTTACCCATGCCATATAAGCACAAAGTTTTGATGATTTAGCAGGCCGAGACTAAGAATATAATGTTAGTGCTACTGGTTTTCACACCAAAGTATATGCATTTTCGACGCAACGACGTACGTCTTCGCTATATAATTGTGCGTCGTTGTGTCGTACGCTTAGACTAGTTGTAAAGGGTTTGAAGAACATTAGAACAACGAGTGTTTTTCAATGCCCCCGTTGTATTTACAGTTTAGAATTCAACCATACTATACTTTGGTGATTGAATCACTCTTCTAAACATACAACACCAGTCCTAATTGTCTGATTAGTAATTAATTAGGAAAAAATCCGATAAGTCAAGTGTGCGAATTCAGAGCTAATGTTCTACCAGCATTGGGTATTCTTACAATTTGATCTATTACGTACCTGTATCTTGTCCGTTACATTTAAGCTTTCCGGCTTACTGGCCAAGATCAGTTCAGCTGATCGTTTAGATCCTTGCAGAGCGGCATAATGTAAAGGCGTTTGGCCATGCACATCACTGAAAGTAAGTGGGAGAATAGACCTTTTTACCGATACGGCGGCCATAGTGAATTAATTCGATTTAAGGAGTATTATAGGGTGCCCAGGGGGCATGAGCACATTTCACATTTCATTTGTATTTCGAGCGCTTTTCGGGACATTTTTTCTTAAAGTTTTCTTAGAATAAGATTGTAATGGAAAAAAAAGATCTTTGTGCCGTGTTTGGATGTAATAATGGTCGCCTTTTTTCCGAGAAATTTACAGTAAAAGATTATATTTCTAATACTAAACTAGAACAAGGCGATCATTATTACATCCAAACACGGTACAAGGATCTTTTTTGCCATTACAATCTTATTCTAAGAAAACTTTACGAAAAAATGTCCCGAAAAGCGCTCGAAAATACAAACGAAATGTGCTTCCCCCGATCTATAGAAAAAGGCGATGGTATTATATGATAATAGAATGAGATCGTACCACTTAATATCCATGAGAACAGAGCAAAGAGTGTGTGTAAGACACTGAAGACGCTGGTACTTCACCATTGTCTGCAGAGAAACAGAAAATAATAAAGCTTATTCTTTTTACATTATCTTAAATGATTACAGTGCGACCGGGAAAACTGTAGGCTTGATTTCCGCCGCTCTCTTGGCCCTCCCCGAGAGAGTAGTGCGGACTCATTTCCCGAACAGCGGCTGGTAATCGAGCCCAGGAAAACCGTGAACTTTTGAAATATCTCAGGAATGTTTATTGTGTTATGACCAATCACAGCAGAGATCAGGACACACGAACTAGCCACAAAACCGCAAACTAATTAATGTTCTTGCTTCTGGTTTAGTTTTCTCATGCCTGATTGGCTTTTCTCATGCAAGACAATAACATTCCAGAAATATTTCTGGTGTCCACGGTTTTCCCGGTTTGACTGTAAGGACTATCCAATATGTACAAATAATCTTTTCTTATTTATTGGCGGTGAATGCATGAGTATATATACTATACTGTCAGTGCAAGTTTGCCAATATTCTGCCTTAAAATAAATAGAATTTGTCTGGTTTTGGTTTAGCTGCGGGTGTACAGTGGCAGATCCAGACCTGGTTAAAAAATTACAAATTAGTTACAAATTAGAGGTATCCACCCTGCGATCGAGTAGAGCCTCCTTTTGTCTTTATGAGTGAGAAGGGGGAAAGGAGGTTCGCATTGAATCGCAAAAAGCCTTTGAGGTCTCCGAAGCCCGAACTTCTGGGCTATTCAATCGTGCTTTTTCTCGTCAAACTGGTTCTTCGAGGGCAAGCATCCGTTTATTGACAAACCGAAGGTCATAACTGAGCCCCCTGTCTCAAGGGCACAGATATTAGGCCTGGGTTCGAAACTATATTTCAACAACAAGCAGCACATACTTCACAGAAATCTCACTTGATTGATACAGAGTCTTACTCGAGTACCCAAAAACTGAAATGAAAAAAGAAAGCAAGGAAAGGCGCCCCCGCCTCCGGTTGATCCTCCAGTAGAGTGGTGAAATGATAACTATGTAGAATTGTACCAGCAAATCATGAAGTGAATTTTCAAAAGAATATGTTGCAAGATAATATTTGCGGCGTTTGAGCTAAATATTTCTTTTCTATACAATGGAAAAGTATGAAGTGAAAAGATATAGAGGATATTACACGGTGGCGCGAAGATATGAATTTTATTTTCGAGTGGCAAAACAATATTTTACGAACGAGCGCAACGAGTGAGTAAAATATTGTCTTTGCCACGAGAAAATAAAATTCATATCTTCAAGCCGCCGTGTAATGTTCGTTTTATTATATAGACTGAAAAGACATCGATAAAATAATAGAGGGAAATTACCGAAATTACGTCATCGATAAACTCAAGTGTGAGATTATGGAAAATAAACCACTGGGATCCCGGATGTAGTTTTTATGAATTTTACGAATGGTATATTTTCCAGTAAAACACACGTGTCTATATAATAAAACTAATTAATTCTTACATGAAGAGCACTCAGTGACTCTTTCGCGTTCTTTTCCTTTCGTTTTTCATCCGGCATGCCTTGAATGAAGCGAAGATCGTATGAAACCTGAATGACATTTACAACAACAGAATTATTAAACAAACATAGGTCTTTAAGATATATTTTATTATAACGCGTTACTGCTTTCCACTTCAGCTGAATGCAGCCTAAACTTAACGCGCGAGAAGCCTGGATACGAGCAATTAGCAGAGAATTTGGGATTTGGGTGAAGAATCGGATACGGAAATATGTCCGATGTTTAGGGATGTTACGGGGGATTTCTGCTAATATAATATACCAGGCGGAATAGCAATCGAAATTGAAGCCTTTCTCCTGGTTACCCCTAAAGATCAAATACTACTGGCAAATTTAAAGAGTTTACATTGGAATTAGAGAAAATAGGAAGGATTCGTGTTTTGTTAAATTTTCCGCGTGGAAAGTTTGCCGTCTTCAAATTCCATCAGAGAAAAATATTGAGAAGATATGCTTGGTTACGTGCAATATAGATTTCCCATCATTGCCGTTTGGGCTGCCTTTTCTAAAAGGCTTGGAAGTGTTTCCTGTAATGAAGTTACCTTGTAATCTTCATCTTCTGGGTCACCCTCTTCGACAATACAGCGATCGAGAAATTTCTGCAGAAAATAGTAGAGACAAAAAAACAAAATAAACTTTAGATGTTGTCCTTCAGCCTCATATATATTTGGAAATGTCAATGTCAGGAGCCAATTCTCCTGACAATATTTAAAATCAGGTAAGGCTTTTGACTGCTCAAAAATTGCAATAAAGTTTAAATCCGTGCTTTCGCGGATCGACGGAAAAATCTGTTATATCAATTATAACAGCAGTTAATTAAAGGCTGCATTTGATTCTCAACATTGTTAAACAGACAAAAAAATCATTCCTCTGAATTCCTCTACAATTGTGTTGGCCGCGGAAGTTTTAACTTAAGAAGATAAAACTTTGCAGCACACGTTTTATAACTGCTAGTGATTTGAACGTAAAACATAATTCAATTACTTTGTTTCATCCCACCTAAATTTAACAAATGAAGTATCAGAAAATTCTCCGAAGAAATCAGGTACCTTTAAAAGACAGTTTTGTTTATTCAATTTATAATTAATTTATCTATGCTCTCATCTTCTGAATGAAATATCCAAATGAAACGGTTTCTGTAGCTTCTTTCTTATCGATGAGTTAAAGTAGATTTCCACACTCGTCAGTCGGACAACTTTTACGTGCGTAACTATATAATGACAGAGATGATGCACGAAAGCCTGCGGGTAAAGTTTAGTGGGGTTCAACTTTTATGCTTACGCACGACCTTCCAACCGTTACCTGTACTTTATTTACGTAAGTAAGAGCCCATGAACGTGAAAGCAGAAATCAGCTTTAAGACCAACATAAGCAAGCAAGGGGAAACGCTTTTATCAATTGACTAACGTAAATGGTTTGTCAAATTTAAAGTTAAGTCGAGCCATATACCTTTGCTACTTCCGGCATGTGCTGGACAAGAAGCTGAATCTGAGTATGCGAACCATGTGTGGTGGTGCGAAGAACTTCCTTCCATCTAGAATACAAGATTTCACATCGCGTGAAAATATCTACAAACGTTTGTACTTGTTCGTTTTAGGTGCTTAAAAAAAGTGATCGATAATAGGCCATGGCCGCCTTATTACCAGTGAGACTTGAAGTCACTTTTGAGCAAAAGGGAGCTTAGGCAACGACAACGGCGACGGCAACGAGAACGGCAAAAAAGCAATTAGTTCAGATTGGCAAAAACAACAATTTTGCACGTACATCACGCTTTTTTGTTCATTTCCTTGCCGTCGTTGCACGGCTACGACGTGAAAATGCCTGATCTCACGTTTTGTGGAGGACGTGAACACAAGACAACAACCGTCTTTTGCTTTTCCTGAACTTTGACACAGTCCTTTAATTAGAATCTAAATCCAGACAAATTCGCCAACATTTGACGAATTTAACGAGATGGAATAAACGCGATGAAGTTTGAACCAGCGCGAACAAACTTTTTTACTGACGTTTTCGTAGCCGTAGCCGTTGTCATTGCATTAAAAGCTCCTAATCGTTGTTGGTCGGAGACGGCGGCAAATCCAGATTTTCTTTTGTTTGCTAATTTAGTGGTCTCTTGAAACTCTACATGAAAATTAACATCAAGACTGCTGAAATTGTTTTAGCACCTTGAATTTTTTTATTGAATTTGTCCTGATTTTCGAAAGTGGCGGGTTAAATTCAATTATGGTGGATTCAAGATGGAGACCTTTAGGAGTAGCGATGACGTGAAGTCACGTAAAATACATTTAACGTTCGGATTATTTTCCCAAACCTATTTTATTAATTTACGTTTCATTGGCACGTTTTCTAATAACAGGAGAGGTGAGGTTTTAGTCTCAATAGCGTCAATTTAGGAAACCACGTATACAAGTCGCAAACAGAAGCTGGTCTCTCTATAAAATCAGTCTTCAAAGGTACTGTTTGAAAATAAATTTCTTTCCCACCTTTTGTGTTCTACTATCGCCAACGCTACGGCTTCCTGCCGTGCCTCGATAGCAATATCCAAGATATTCTGGTTTCTCTCGTTTACTGAAACCAGCTGTTCTGGTTTAGAGAGAAGGTATTTTAGGATTTCAGCATGACCTCCTTTGGCTGCCATGTGGAGAGCTGTGTTCTATCCCCCGATCTATAGAAAAAGGCGATGGTATTATATGATAATAGAATGAGATCGTACCACTTAATATCCATGAGAACAGAGCAAAGAGTGTGTGTAAGACACTGAAGACGCTGGTACTTCACCATTGTCTGCCGAGAAACAGAAAACATAATTATTCTCTTTCAATTAATCAAGCTTATTCTTTTCACATTGACTAAAATGATTACAGTGCGACCGGAAAAACTGTAGGCTTGATTTCCGCCGCTCTCTTGGCCCTCCCCGAGAGAGGAGCGCGGGCTTATTTCCCGAACAGCGGCTGGTAATCGAGCTTAGGAAAACAGTGAACTTTTGAAATATCTTAGGAATGTTTATTGTGTTATGACCAATCACAGCAGAGATCAGGACACGCGAACTAGCCACAAAACCACAAACTAATGTTCTTGCTTCCAGTTTAGTTTTCTCATGCCTGATTGGCTTTTCTCTTGCAAGACAATAACATTCCAGAAATATTTCTGGTGTCCACGGTTTTCCCGGTTTGACTGTAAGGACTATCCAATATGTACAAATAATCATCGCTTATTTATTGGCGGTGAATGCATGAGTATATATAGTAAACTGTCAGTGCAAGTTAAAATAAATAGAATTTGTCTGGTTTTGGATTAGCTGCGGGTGTACAGTGGCAGAGTCCAGACCTGGTCTGATTCAAATTAGAGGTATCCACCCTGCGATCGAGTAGAGCCTCCTTTTGTCTTTATGAGCGAGAAGGGGAAAAGGAGGTTCGGCCTGAATCGCAAAAAGCCTTTGAGGTCGTCGAAGCCCGAACTTCTGGGCTATTCAATCGTGCTTTTTCTCGTCAAAATGGTTCTTTGAGGGCGAGCATCTGTTTATCGACAAACCGAAGGTCATAACTGAGCCCCCTGTCCCAAGGGCACGGATATTAGGCCTGGGTTCGAAACTATATTTCAACAACAAGCAGCATATACTCCACAAAAACCTCACTTGATTGATACAGAGTCTTACTCGAGTACCCAAAAACTGAGCAAAGCAACGAAAAAAGAAAAAAAAGGAAAGGCGCCCCCGCCTCCGGTCGATCCTCCAGTAGAGTGGTGAAATGATAACTATGTAGAATCGTACCAGCAAATCATGAAGTGGATTTTCAAAAGAATATGTTGCAAGATAATATTTTACGGCGTTTGAGCTAAATATTTCTTTTCCATGGAGTGGAAAAGTATGAAGTGAAAAGATAACTAATTATATCTTACATGAAGAGCACTCAGTGACTCTTTCGCGTTTTTTTCTTTTCGTTTTTCATCCGGCATGCCTTGAATGAAGCGAAGATCGTATGAAACCTGAATGACATTTACAACAACAGAATTATTAAACAAACACAGGTCTTTAAGATATATTTATATTATAACGCGTTACTGCATTCCACTTCAGCGGAATGCAGCCTAAACTTAACGCGCGAGAAGCCTGGGTACGAGCAATTAGCTGAGAATTTGGGATTTGGGTGAAGAATCGGATACGAAAATACGTCCGATGTTTAGGGATGTTACGGGGGATTCCTGCTAATATAATATACCAGGCGGAATAACAATCGAAATTGAAGCCTGTCTCGTGGTTACTCCTAAAGATCAAATACTTCTGGCAAATTTAAAGAGTTTACATTGGAATTAGAGAAAATAAGAGGGATTTGTGTTTTGTTAAATTTTCCGCGTGAAAAGTTTGCCGTCTTTAAATTCCATCAGAGAAAAATATTGAGAAGATATGCTTCGTTACGTGCAATACAGATTTCCCATCATTGCCGTTTGGGCTGCCTGTTCTAAAAGGCTTGAAAGTGTTTCCTGTAATGAAGTTACCTTGTAATCTTCATCTTCTGGGTCACCCTCTTCGACAATACAGCGATCGAGAAATTTCTGCAGAAAATAGTGAAGACAAAAAACCAAAATAAACTTAGATGTTGTCCTTCAGCCGCATATATATTTGGAAATGTCAATATCAGGGGCCAATTCTCCTGACAATATTTAAAATCAGGTGAGGCTTTTAACTGCTCAAAAATTGCAATAAAGTTTAAATCCGTGCTTTCGCGGATCGACGGAATAATCTGTTACCGTAAAATTCCGAAAATAAGCCCCTCCATCTATAAGCCCCTCCAAATATAGGGCCCCCAATGCGGTAACGCAAAAAACCGTCCGTTAAATCGCCCCTCCAAATATAAGCCCCCCAGGGGCTTGTACTTGGAAAATTGCCCTCAGATACAAAGTAAAACAAAGCAAAAATGGTAAATTTACTTCCAACAATAAGGCTAGCCCAATCTATTTTGAAACGCAAATTTCCTTCCGTAGATAAGCCCCTCCGAATATAAGCCCCTCCAAAAATAAGCCCCTCAAAAAGGGCCTTTGAAAAATATAAGCCCCGGGGCTTATTTTCGGAATTTTACGGTATATCAATTATAACAGCAGTTAATTAAAGGCTGCATTTGATTCTCAACATTGTTAAACAGACAAAAAAGTCATTCCTGTGAATTCCTCTACAATTGTGTTGGCCGCGGAAGTTTTAACCTAAGAAGCTAAAACTTTGCAGCACAAGTTTTGTAACTGCTAGTGATTTGAACGTAAAACGTAATTCAATTACTTTGTTTCATCCCACCTAAATTTAACAAATGAAGTATCAGAAAATTCTCCGAAGTTGTCAGGTACGTTTAAAAGACCGTTTTGTTTATTCAATTTATGATTAATTCATCTATGCTCGCATCTTCTGAATGAAATATCCAAATGAAACGGTTTCTGTAGCTTCTTTCTTATTGATGAGTTAGAGTAGATTTCCACACTCGTCAGTCGGACAACTTTTACGTGCGTAACTAATGACAGAGGTGATGCACGAAAGGCTGCCGGTAAAGTTGAGTGAGGTTCAACTTTTACGCTTACGCACGACCTTCCATACGTTACCTGTACTTTATTTACGCAAGTAAAAGCCCATGAACGTGAAAGCAGAAATCAGCTTTAAGACCAACATAAGCAAGCAAGGGGAAACGCTTTTATCAATTGACTAACGTAAATGGTTTGTCAAATTTAAAGTTAAGTCGAGCCATATACCTTTGCTACTTCCGGCATGTGCTGGACAAGAAGCTGAATCTGAGTATGCGAACCATGTGTGGTGGTGCGAAGAACTTCCTTCCATCTAGAATACAAGATTTCACATCGCGTGAAAATATCTACAAACGTTTGTACTTGTTCGTTTTAGGTGCTTAAAAAAAGTGATCGATAATAGGCCATGGCCGCCTTATTACCAGTGAGACTTGAAGTCACTTTTGAGCAAAAGGGAGCTTAGGCAACGACAACGGCGACGGCAACGAGAACGGCAAAAAAGCAATTAGTTCAGATTGGCAAAAACAACAATTTTGCACGTACATCACGCTTTTTTGTTCATTTCCTTGCCGTCGTTGCACGGCTACGACGTGAAAATGCCTGATCTCACGTTTTGTGGAGGACGTGAACACAAGACAACAACCGTCTTTTGCTTTTCCTGAACTTTGACACAGTCCTTTAATTAGAATCTAAATCCAGACAAATTCGCCAACATTTGACGAATTTAACGAGATGGAATAAACGCGATGAAGTTTGAACCAGCGCGAACAAACTTTTTTACTGACGTTTTCGTAGCCGTAGCCGTTGTCATTGCATTAAAAGCTCCTAATCGTTGTTGGTCGGAGACGGCGGCAAATCCAGATTTTCTTTTGTTTGCTAATTTAGTGGTCTCTTGAAACTCTACATGAAAATTAACATCAAGACTGCTGAAATTGTTTTAGCACCTTGAATTTTTTTATTGAATTTGTCCTGATTTTCGAAAGTGGCGGGTTAAATTCAATTATGGTGGATTCAAGATGGAGACCTTTAGGAGTAGCGATGACGTGAAGTCACGTAAAATACATTTAACGTTCGGATTATTTTCCCAAACCTATTTTATTAATTTACGTTTCATTGGCACGTTTTCTAATAACAGGAGAGGTGAGGTTTTAGTCTCAATAGCGTCAATTTAGGAAACCACGTATACAAGTCGCAAACAGAAGCTGGTCTCTCTATAAAATCAGTCTTCAAAGGTACTGTTTGAAAATAAATTTCTTTCCCACCTTTTGTGTTCTACTATCGCCAACGCTACGGCTTCCTGCCGTGCCTCGATAGCAATATCCAAGATATTCTGGTTTCTCTCGTTTACTGAAACCAGCTGTTCTGGTTTAGAGAGAAGGTATTTTAGGATTTCAGCATGACCTCCTTTGGCTGCCATGTGGAGAGCTGTGTTCTAAGAGAAAAATAAAAGTGAAATTAATTCAACTGCAATAAGTAAGTGCGCAGAGTAGTTCGTACAGACCTTCCGAAAAGACAGTTTTTGGCTTTTGCATTTTTGCAAGCGATTAAAACTGATAACTGACACTAACAAACAAATCCAAAGAAATCAATCTTTATTCGGCTAAACTGATAACCAAGCCGTCAGTCAAAAAAGAAAAAATACAAAGAAACAAACAGTTCTCTAGGTATTGATTAGGGACCGGACATTATTTACCGGGGGGGTAGGGCTACTATTTTTTCGAAAAGTGGTTGAAAAAAAATATGACCCTCCCCTTCAACATGACAAAAAAATTATGACCCTCCCCCAGCGAAGGGTGAAAAAAATTGTGACCCTCCCCCTATCCCTTTTTTTTATTTTCATCTAATTTTCTTTAACAAAAACAATATTTTTTACAAGAAGATGTGCTCTCTCCAGCAACTATTTTGTATCTTCTGGAAAAGTTGAAAAGCAGTATTTCTTCACTCTCAAACAAAGAAGGCTGACCATTCACAGCCATTCGTTCTGACTGTATGTGTTTGATGATATTTTTTGGCCAGTTTTTTCAAGTGAAGGCCCCTCATGATCAATAGAGTCATAACTAAGGATGGCGCGCGAGGCCGTAATGAAATCTGTTTCCTGAAAGCTACCAGCTTTAGAATGTTAATAAAAAGTTAGATCGAACTCTAGCAAAAAAGATCCTTTTCAAAGTGTGTAATATAAGCAGAAAATAATCAAGGCGAGCGCGTAGCGCGAGCCGGAAAAAAAATCCTTTCTTTATTGTTAGCGAACAAGTTCGCTCAGAGTGTTGATTAGACACAAAATTATCATGATGAGCGCGTAGCGCGAACCGAAAAAAAATCCTTTTTCTTGAACCGTCAAGTTTTCTTCGAATGTGTGATTAGGCAGAACATAATCATGGCGTGCGCGGAGCGCGAGCCGGAAAGAATTTTTCCTTTTTCTTGAACCATCAATGTCAAGTTCGCTTCGATGATGTGTGATTAAGCAAAGCATAATCGTGGAGAGCGCGTAGCGCGAGCCGGAAAATAATCCCTTTTTCTGAACCTATAAGTTCGCTTAGAATGATTATTGAGAGCAAAAAAAGTCATATGGTGGGCTGTTCTAAATAATGTTCAACCATTAAAAAAAATATGACCCTCCCCCTGAAGGCTTGAAAAAAATTATGACCCTCCCCCCAAAAATAGTAGCCCAACCCCCCCGCTAAATAATGACCGGTCCCTTATGTCTTCAACTTTATGAAAGAGTGCTCCTATGAATGCAAATAAAGTGCAATTTACACACTGAGGGAGAATATGAGGCAAACACAAACCCGAGAATTTTTACACATGCTATAAGCACAACTGATGATTTAGCAGGCCAAGACTAATAATATAATGTTAGCGCTACTGGTTTTTACACTAAAGTATTTGAAATACGCATTTTTAACCCAACGACGCACGTCGTCGCTCTATAGTTTTGCGTCGTTGTGTCGTACGCTTGGACTAGCCGTAAAGGGTTTGAGGTACATTAGGACAACGAGAGTTTTGCGATATGCCCGTTGCATTTACAGTTTAGAATTCAACCATACAACACTTTGGTTCTATATTCTATACATGCAATACCAGTACTAATCGTCTGACTAGTGATTAGGAAAAAACCGTAAGTCAAGAGCGCGAATTCAGAGCTAATGTTCTTCCAGCATTGGGTATTCTTACAATTTGATCTATTACGTACCTGTATCTTGTCCGTAACATTTAAGCTTTCCGGCTTGCTGGCCAAGATCAGTTCAGCTGATCGTTTAGATCCTTGCAGAGCGGCATAATGTAAAGGCGTTTGGCCATGAACATCACTGAAAGGTAAGTGAGAGAATTAATGCAGTATATGATTTAATAGCGCGTAACTATTGGAATATAAATTTCATGAACATAAGAAAAACGGTGATAGGGAATTAACGAGAAGGAGATTACCGCTTTTTGAATTAAAACTCGTATATTGGAGTATTATTGTGATATTACGTAGCAATAAGTCAACGGTATGTATTTTTCACACACCAATGTCGCCCTCCTTTTACTGTGTACCAGCCAGAAGTAGTACTAAAGACAGTGAGAAGCTGACCAATTTAGCTCATATTCAGTACCGTAAAAGTAAATAGTGCACATCATATGAAGCGAAAGATTAAAATAAGTCAATCACCTAAGCCATAGTATTATGAAACAGCTCAGTCTAAGTTGAGATGACAATTCATACTGACCTGTCAATTTTTGCTCCCTTTTTAAGGAAGAATTCTACCAGTTCATCATGGCCTTCCTGTGCTGCGAGATGAAGCGGTGTTCTCTCATAAACATCATTTGCATTCACAGTTCTCTTGCCGCGCCCTTCCATCACTTTTTTAGCAACGGACATACAGCCATACCTAGCAATCAAATATAGTGGTCTTGTAAAAACAACAGATATATCTACATTTGGGGGGAAAATGCTAGGAAAAATGGTCCGGTTGCCACCTCTAGTTTAAAGATAAAGCTCTTGAAAGCATTACTCAATTTTTACCTTAAAGCCGGCTTGGAGTCATGCTAGAATTTTAATATATCGAACGTAGGCTGTTCGTATACCTTGCTGCAATGTGCAATGGCGTTTCTCCTGCACCGTTTGTAATAGTGGCCCCTGCTCTATATTTCATCAAAATAATGGACGCATCCTGGAAAAAAAAAATCTTTTTATGTCAATAACACTTGCAATAAATGCCGTTTTAATCTGGCTGCGCTGGGAGATGATATGTTACTGCGTACTGGCTTTACTAGAAAGCGTCAGTGGGTTTTTCGTAGTATGACTCTAATATGTAATTGATACTCAAACATGAAAAATATGCCAGATAGATCATTAAACTCCGAACTGATTACTTCAAGACAAATTTAAAATGTGAGTTAAAACTAACCTTCACGCAGCCTTTACAAGCTGCGTAATGAAGAGGGGTGTTCCCAAGTCGATCCTTGGCTCGAATGAGAGAATTAGCTTTGACATCCTGATAAAAAGAAAAGGGATAGTTTATAATAGAAGCCATTAGGTGTTAAAATATATTTTGTACGACGTTAAAGAACCCACACACTCTTCGTAAAAAGTAGGGGAAGTAGTCTCCGATGTGGTGGTCTTTCTCATATTCACACTCACACAGGAAGAATCATTACTCATCCTTTCATTATTTGTAAACTGCACCGTAAGCAGTCTGGCAAAGCCCCCCAAGTGAACCGATGTTGTAAATCATCCCTGAAAACTGAACCCTCAGGGGAGTGGATAATAAGATATTTACTAGTAATAAATAAAGGTTACGGAGTGCAGGCGACGACTAAACCGAAGGTCAAAACGCCTTTGCTCAAACGCTGTGCTTTGCGTAAGTTTCACGTGATAGATTGTCACAACATCCGTGATCAGGTTGCGAGTGATAGAAGGTCCGAACGGGCATGGTCAAATTGTGTTCTGTGCATTCCATTCATTCTTAGTGGGAGTCCAAACGAATGCTGGCTACATACATGCGACGCATGCGTAATAACAACCTGGAGATTAGGATTGTGGGCTCCTCTTGTCGCCCGCAACAATTTACAATTTTTAAAGTACGTTGCTTAAAAAGTTCTTGTGTTTTTAACTTTGATAAAATACACCTGCTCGCTCTCTCGCACTTACTTTTAAGATTTCCTTGACGATGTCGGAGCTTCCGATAGCGTAGTGCAAGACAGTTTTGTTCTCCGAGTCCCTGACGTCAACATTAGCGTTATTTTCCAGCAGGACTTTAGCCGTCGCGTATGAGTTGCACTGCGCCGCCAACATAACTGGTGTCCGCCCCTCATAGTCTGTCGTGTTAATTTGATCAACGTCCTACAAAGAAGCAGTAAAAGTTAGGTGCGCGTCAAGTAAGAGTGGCACTTTCGTGATCCAAGACAGTCTTGGATTCTGGATTCCACGCCGTAGATTAAGGATTCCGGGGACTGGATTCCAGTCTTTGTCAAACAAATTGGAATCTGGATCCCAATCGTTAGTGAGATTCCGGATTCCAAAGCCCAGGATTCTGGATTTCATGAGCAAAACGTTCTCGGATTCCAGATTGAACAAGCCAAAATTTTCCGGATTCCCTTCCATGGGGCAATTTTGTGCATTTGGGAAAAAAAAAATCACAGTTTGTGTTTTCAATCGACTTGAATGATAAGGTTTCACTCTGTATTTGATTTTTTCTTCTGCTATCCACATCAGTTCAAGAGAGCCCTTAACTATCAACGCATATGCATTCAGCTGTCTCGAAAGAAGTATCGTAAACGGAAAATATGTTAAATGGAATGAGCCCTTAACATTACTGATGACAAGATGACTTTAATAAGACCAAATTCAGCAAGGAAGCACACAAATTTATTGCTCAGTTAATCAAAGCAAAGAGATTTCAATAAGTCCGTGAGGATTTTCAAATAAGATCCCCGGTCAAATAATAAAGGGATTTAATTCACATGTATGGCGGTAACTGTAAACGTCACGAAAAATGCGCGTCCAAAATGATTGTTAACGATGAAAATGGCATGAAGCTACTTGTTTTTGTTTAATTATAATGAAATGGGAAGGCCGTTTGTTGAAAAGGGATTTAATCTCTCCAATACGTACCTGTCTCAGAAGATATGAGATGACTTCCGCGTGGTTTGATTGAGCAGCTCTGAGAAAACAAATAAGGGTGGATTACATAAAACGCTTGAATATATTACCTACTCTAAAGTCGCTTTTGCTATTGTTTTTGTGATAAACCCCTCCGTTTCGTCGAAAATTAAAATGCTTAGTCACTTAGAGCCTGTTCACATGGAGGTGGGGGACCACAGGGAGGTGAGGTAACCTGTTTAGGTGGGGTAATCCCCCTGTCCATATAATCTCTCACATGGTCACCCTACTTATCATGTAAACGTGATCAAATTAAAATGAGATTATATCCAGCCTACTTGTGAATAGGTAACATTCCATCTTGGTCTGGAGGGGGGTCCACAATGAACGCAACAGCCTTCATGAGAAGATCCAGGATGTCCATGTACCCGTATGAGGAAGCCAGATGGATTGGTGTGCTTCCATCAGATGACTACAAAAGGATAATAGCCAATCAATCTGCGCTTGCTCTGAATATTCATTGCAATGGACAAATTGAACTGGACGTTCGATATACACTGATAGGTTACAGGAAGAAAAGCATCCTGGCTATGCGTTTGTTTCGTAACCCCTAAGCTCACTGTACATCGATAGGTTACAGGAAGAAAAGCATCCTGGCTATGCGTTTGTTTCGTAACCCCTAAGCTCACTGTCATACTCAGTTCAACGCGATTTCAATGTTGCTCTCACATTGTGTGGTGTGTGTATAGGCGAATCTTTGTTGACACTTTTTGCCTCATTAACATATGCTTATCACTATCTGATGACGCTAACAAAATAAAAACTATAAATATTGAAAGGGCATAACAGTTTCAGTTATCTCTGAAAATTTGAGCCCAATACTCCGAATGGTTTCGGAGAAATTCTCTTCTAAAAACTCGAAATTTTACAGAGAATGTATGGCTCATTAACTTTTTGCTAAACCGCAATTTCGCAGTTTTTGATGGCTGACATTTCCTCCCGGGGGAGGGGGGGTACTCCCATACATTACCTATACGGGTATGTGCCACCCAACGGGGTCGTGATTTTGAAGCTCCTGATTTAGAACGGGGTATCCATTTCAGAGGCGTTTTCTAGAACGGGGTATAAAAAATTGTGGATCGCGGCTTTATCTTCTGCTTAAAATTGTTGCTGATTATGAAGAAGCATTTATTTGATGTATAAGTCGAACAAAGAAAGAAATATCTTTTTAAAAAAACAGGGCTATTTCAATTTACAAACGGAACGAACGGAGTATAAACAATTGGCCCATTTCTAGAACGGGGTATCAGTTTTAGGGCGAATTCTAGAACGGGGTGTAAAAAATTGGCCCATTTCTAGAACAGGGTACCAATTAAAGGGGAAATTTCTTTTAGAACGGGGTGCCAATTTGGAGTCCCGGGCGGCACATACCCACCCAAAAAATACCCAAGTGCCCCCCCTCCCGGGCATTTCCTTCAATATTGCTTGCAAAGAGCTGAAAATCGCACAAATTGCTCAACTTAATTAGCTCCTTCGACTTTTGCATTTAGTTCATATATCCAGGCCACGGCTTCTATGAGTTAAGTCGGACGCTAATAAGGGAAAATGCAAGGGATGACGTCAGGAAAGATTACCTATATGTAAAACGTATCCTGCGTTGTAGATGTAATCTAACCCCGGTTAGTAATACCTGCGAAGCAGCGCTGAGATTCTAGTTCTGGAACCCCCAGACACAACGAATTGCCGGAAGTGAGCTTCAAATTTCCTTTCAACCTGATTGGCCTATCGAACAATGGTTTTTTAACAGACCAATCTTAGCACGTACTCAAATCCTAGTACACAACCCGGTACCCATAACGAGGATTTCGGCGCTGACTCGCTGACAGCCTTAACCATTATTTTAGGTTTAGTTTCGTCTGTGACGCAGGCTGTATATAACTTTGCATTAGTTATACGTTGCTGTCTAAGAAAACTAGCTACTACACATAAGGTAAAATAAACGAAATGATACCTTAACTGAGTTGGACACTGCTCCTTCCTTCAAACAAAGCTCTACAACCTGCGAAAAGAGAAGAATAACTTGAAGTTAAAACAGGGCAATTTACGCGGAAGAATGGCTCTCATAAGCCAAAGTATCATCACAGGTTACAGTATGGCGCACTATCTGAGCAATCAGTTCAAAACATGCGTATTTCCCTCAGCTAGTTTCATCTTAAAGGCTTACTCATTTGATCGTTTATTTATTTATGTAGCTGCAAGTATCCAACAAAATATTAAGAAAAACCCATGCTTAACAACACCATTGATATCACAATCAATAGGCCATTTCCGAGTTGCCCCAAACCGTCTCTTTTTCAAAGCAAGGCTAAGGGACCAAGGCTAAAGGCCTGTTTACATGGCGGTGGGGGACCCCAGATAGGTGAGGTCACCCCACCTATCATGTAAACGTGATCAAATCATAATAGGAGATTATATGGATAGGCGGGTTACCCCACCTAAGCGGGTTACCTCACCTACCTGGGGTCCCCCACCTCCCTGTAAACAGACCCTAAGTGAGAAGCTATTGATATGTAAACAATTTTTTATTCCGGCATGCAAATAAAATTCATTTTCACAAGAAAGATTTTGAAAAGCCTCGTTTTGAAAGTGAGAGCTTTTGGAGCTCGGAAATGACCTAAATTTACATAGCCTAAGAGAGGCGTTATTAGGAGATATTTCTGAGATCACGTGAGGTCTAAAATAGCGTTGTCAGTTAGGTGAAGTTTGTTTCCAATCAATTTTTGTACCTTTGCCACTCCACTTTCTACAGCCAGATGAAGCAAAGTGCCGTCTGTATTGTCTGCATGGAGGAGAATGTCATCTCGTGGTATACCTTGGGCTTTAGCTGCGTTATAACAATATCTGTTTTAACTGTTGAAGACATTTTTTTATTTCTGAAAATAACTCAGGGATAAATTATTCAGTTTGAGCTTACTGACATACACCCTGAGAGCAGAGGCTACAGTTTCGCTGTGTGAGCTGGCGTGCGAAAAGTAGCCTCTGCCGACAACCGTTCAATTTTCTATCGTGTATGCGCGAAATTCGTCTCGGCGATTCGCAAGCAAACTTAATCGTCTGGTCTGTCGTCAAATGGCACGAGTTTCCCGGTAACAAAAAAAATTGCGACAACTCTGATTTCCTACGCAAGACTCACGCAATGCTCTAAGCCGGTCAAGAACAGGAAAAAACCCATTTTTTAATTCATTCGTCCAGATTTCTGGACGGATTTGAACGGTTGTCGGCAGTGGCTACTTTTCGCACGCCAGCTCACACAGCGAAAATGTAGCCTCTGCTCGCAGGGTAACTGACCTAAGATCTACTTAAGATGATTAAACCTACGAACAACAAACAATCCACGAAACCCAGAATACACCAAGAATACCGGCCCCTACCGGCACTCGGCCAAGTACAGATGAGAATAACCCTATGATCTCTGGTAGAGATGTTCGGTAAAAGAAAAAAAACATTGCTTATCAAATTTCTTTGACTGAGAGGAAAGGTATATTCTGTTATACAAGGCAATGAAAAAGGGAAACTAAAGACAGAAAGCTTAATACTAACTTTGTCATCAGGAAGTCCTTGAAATCAACTTGAGCTGCTGATTTTTTTTTCATAAGAATACCGGAAAGTCTATTGGAACACGACCGCCGAGGGCAATGTATTAGAGTGCATATCACTATATGGCTACAGTAAGGACGAAGTTTACACGCATTATAAACTGAAATTTTCAGATGAACTCACAGTAATGGAAAAGGCAAACCATGACGTCATAAGAGCCGTGCAAAGCAGCATGAGCAATAGGCGTCATAGCCTTATGATCACGTGACAGAAGCTTGGCGTTGTACTGTAACTGTGAAAGAATAAAGGGAAAGTGGGTGAATTTAATGGCGAACGGAGATGAAGTTTCTGGCCACCAGCTAAAGGTGCTGAAACAGGGCGGTAAAAAAAGATGATTCATGTAGTGAAAAAGTAATAAGAAACCGTTTATAATCGCTTACACGGCTGCGGACAAATTTTTGAACGGACGAAGTTTTTACCTGTGCAAGCCGTGTATAGGGAACCGTGCAAATTCTGTTACAATACAGTTCACAGGAGTCCGTGCACATTTTTGCCGGTATCAGCATTTGAATGACGCGTAACTTGGCTCCAGGCTTTAACAACGCAAACTATGCGAAAACTTGCACAGTTCAGGTGTTTACACGAGGCCGCGTAGGAGTAGATCCGTATCGATGAAATATTATGCCCTACTTCAGATCAGGAAGAAATAAAAATTTTGTACACATTGCTGTTCAAAAACTTGCAAGGTTCCACAGGTCCCGCGTAAACGAAAAATGGATTTGTGCAAGTTTTTAAAAATTGTTCTGAACCGTGTCAACAAGGCCTACGATTCATTAGATAACAAATCATTAAGAAACTGATGCAACCGCTGTCACAGTGATTCGATATGTTCATCTCCGCGTTTTGGGCACCCCCATTCCCAAAATTCTAGTGATATATGGGCTTCGCCTGTAACCCTAAGCCTAAGCCTAACCCTAATTGCTAAGGTAATATGAGAAGGAGATGCCCACATCACTAAGGTTTTGGGAATGGGGATGCTCAAAACGCCCATACCACCGTAACAGCGCCACTTGAAACTATGAGAAGGAAACTGAACCCAGTTAACTTTCGCAAAGACTTCTGGGATCGTTACTGGGCACGCGCTATTCAGCTATTGGCCAATTTGTCTGTCCTATCCCCAGTAACCGTCCCAGAAGTCTTGGCGAAAGTTAACTCGGACGAGTTTCCTTCTCGTTACTAAAGTGGAGAATTTTACATACCAAGAGCTTGCAGATGGATACATTGTTCAAGTGATCCAGATGAGCCGCTATGTGAAGTGGAGTACAGCCTGAGTTGCCGACAGCATTGGGATTAGCGTGACCTTCACGCAATAGAGCCTGTAAGTCAAACGTTCTGTGCTCTGAGACTTAATAATGCTAAAACGTCGGGATATTATATCGTTAGTTTCTACTTGTTTATGGAAGCTGTTTTGGCAAAAAAAATTCGGTACTTCTTGTGAGACAGGTACTCGCCACTTTTTATGTTTTCATTTAAAGAACCACCCGCTTTGTGAAAAGAGAAAGAAGAAAAAGGAAACACTCTACATCCTTTATCATATCGAGGGACACTTGAATAGGCCCTTGGCAGCCAGTTATTCTCGTGGTACTAAACGTAACCGCCATGCTGGAGAGCAGAGGACGCACTGGGACGTTACAAATCGTAGTTTTCTTTGTTTGTCTTGTCCCATAGACTTGCTACAATTCGACCTCTCATAAGTTCCTAAAAGTTAGCGAAGCGAGCTTCAATGCATCAGGTCGTGCAGCGACCGAGCGAGCGACGAAGTTTAAAATGGTATAACCAACCAGGAAAAGCTATCTATGATGCCGATTTCGTATCATAAGGACTAGCTGCAAAGGGCATTGTGGGGTTCAGAGCCGGCATGTTACGACGGCTGAAAGGGTAGGAAAGAAAAGAAATAGATCGAGGCGTCTCGGCTGAGGCCCAGAAATGATTGTGGCGATCACTAACCAGCACAATATCTAAGTTTCCAGTTCTTGTAGCAGTGTGCAATGGGGTATCATCCCTATCATCATGTGCATCCACATCAGGCCTGTAGCGGAGAAGGCAATGTACAATATCCAGCTTTTGAGCTCCAACTGCGCAGTGAAGTGGAGTTTTACCGTACTCATCATGTGCGTCTATATCTGCGGCAGAAATGAGCGACAACCTTTTTAAAATCTTTTCGATAGACTATCTTTTAACAGTGTTTCTTTCATTGACTGCCAAGTGATTGACCTACAGTGCAAACTCTCCTAACGGACACTCTCGTAATTGGACAGCTTTACTAACGTCCGCCTTCACAAAACCCCGTTCTTAATTCTCGACTGCCATACAAACTCTGTATTTTTACATTCACGTAAGCGGCCAACTCCTGTTACGGACGCCTTTCTCGTTTCCCGAGGGTGGTGTCCGCTCACGCCAGCTTCTAATGTAGTTAGAGACTGACTGACTGGTGACTAATTGTCTCCTTAGAAGGAAGCTAAGTTGAGCCTTTTTCTTCCATCATTCGTCCTTTGTAAACTTGTAATTATACGGCCCGTAGTAGATGACACGAAGGCTTAGGTCGAGGGTTCAGGGAGCCGACGACTGTATACGTACTCAGTCACTTCACTGATTTTCAACGGACTGACCGGTTAGTTGAATTAACGAACGAACGAACTAACTGACGGACGTATGCATAGATGGATAAAAAAAGGAAAGAGAAAGGACGGAACGACAATCAAAATAGCCCAAAACATTCTTTTCTACACCAAAAGCAAGCAGCTTGTCTTTCCTGTGAGTTTTTAGAGCAACTTTTTTTTTGCCCAACTTGATCAAACCGTGCGGGAAAGGCAAAAAATATCTAATCCGGTTTGGAATTTTATTTCAGCTAAACTTAAACCATATATAATTGTACCTTTTCCAGCAGATATAAGGTTTTCTACGTCAGATTCATTGCCATTAAGAACAGCTTTGTGAAGGCCGCCATGATGGTCTCTGTTGATAAATCGCAGGTTGATTCTACCCTGTGAAATAAAAAGCAATTACTGGAGGGTGATGCAGTGATAACACTTTATAAAATTTATTATAGACATAGTCGCAAGCTCCTTAACTGATAAACTAAAGTGCTACTATTTAGAATAAAAATAAATTTACAATAAATAGGAAGGGACAAACATTACAATGAAAAAGTGCAGTCAGAGATAGTGGCTTTAAATTTTGCAGTTGAAACTAATGTCAAATAGTCAGATGGCAAACTATTCTCGCCAGGATCTGTATTTGTACGCGTCACAGGATGGCTCAAGTAGAATAAATTTCAGTGGATAAGATGCCCTGGTTTTTATGGAGGATTGATGTTGTATCAATAGCGGCCTGGTTGGTAACATCAGCGTCAGTATAGCTACTTGTCTTCTTTTTTCGAGAGTTGGCCAATTTAGTTGATTCAAGGCATTAGTTACGCATTTTTTCTCATTCGCGTAGGTTCTTGGTACGAGGTGTGCTACTCTGCGCTGGACCTGTTCAAGACATGATTTCGGATATGCTCTATACGGATCCCTTACGGTACTACCATATTCCAACGGTGGTCTCACTAGTGATTTGTAAGCTTGTTTTTTAATCTTCTGTGGGCAACGATGTAAGTTCCTCTCGACAAAGCCAAGTGCAGAATTGGTGTTATTTCTAATGTTCAGAATAAGTGTCCTCCATTCCAAATCCGCTGATAGAGTAACTCCAAGATAAGGTTGGTGGTCCCAGACTGCAGGGTTTGGCCAAGCATGGTGTAGGGATGGATTAAAGCTTTCATGCTTCTGTAAACTCGTAGAACGTAGCACTTCGACGGGCCGAAGACCATTTGCCACAACTTTGCCCATTAAAATACCTTGTCCAGATCGCATTGGAGACTGATTAAATCGTCGAAGTTATGCACCAGACCAGACAGCATGGCGTCGTCAGCGAATAACTTGATATCTGACCTATATCTATCAAGAATAACAAGAAGCACAAGTAACCCAACACGGGTCCCTGAGGGACTCCTCACTGTGCTTGATTATTAGTCACGCCTCTATCCAGGCTAAGGTCAGACCACGAATGTCGTAGTACTCTAATTTAACTAACGGACGTTTGTGTGCTACTTTAATTTGTCGAAGGCTTTAGAAAAGTCTAAGATCAAAAGATCAGTCTAATTTCTGCCATTTACTGACCGGGCTAGATGCTCTACTGTATTGATAAGTTGCGTTTCTCTTGAGCGCCCAGGATGGAAGCCATGTTGGGCGTCCAGTAGGATGTCACAAGTGTTTAGATGTATCATAATACTGCGGTAAATAATGTGTTAACGCTACAAAAGAGCCGGATAATTCTTCATATCATACCGAAGCCGAAACCAATAATGGTTTTTTTATTCATTCAAATAATTCAAGTATTCCTTGATCTATGTTAAGTTCCCATCTTCATAGGATTTGCCTGTTCGTCAGCATAACCAAGTTAACGTCAGACATTGGGTTTGGAGATGTTCTACCCCTTTGGGACTTAGAAAGTGGATAAGGCGCTTCTCTGTTATTTCAAGAAAGTTGAAGCTAAGCTGTGGAAATTTGAGTAATAGCTTTTGCAGCATGTCAGAAAATGTCTTAGCTTAGACACAATAAAGTCATAATTTATGACGTCTTGATTCGAAATAGCCGCCGTCTTAGATCCGTCATATTGTAATTTTGTTACGCCTTTTGAATTGAATCAACAGTTTTAGTACGGAAGTTCTTAAAAATCTATACCATGGTCACCATGGATGTTATCTTTGTTTCGATTTTCACTTAAAAGTAAGAAACTTGGCAAACAAGCAAAAAAACAGCTTGTGATGAAAGACTGACACTAAATGTTGCTGACAAATATCTCATGTCAACCGTTTCAGATTCTAATAGTACTTTTATAAAGTAGTTACTTGTATATTAGAAAGATAACTCTTTATTAACCTTTCGTTATTTCTATAATGACCCTAATTTCAATCTGTCTTTATCAAATGCAAATTACTTCATGAGAACGCTTTTGAATACTCAATACATCTTATTTTTGGAAGCTAGTCAATTTTGCTTTCTTCTTCAGTGACAGTACACCTACGAATTTTCTAAAAGACCGCGATTTCTCGATCGGCCATATAATTTTGTTTATTGTACGGCTTTACTAGACGTTAAAAGTTTTTGAAAAAAAATGGAAAGATTTTTAAAAGCAAATCTCGTTAAAATGGCAAACACGCTGAATAAAACATCGAACATGAATCAAAATGAAAGGATACGCACAGTTGAGAGCACAATTTTATGATCAAGCGATTTCTGCTAAATTCGAAAAGTCGTCGTCTTTTCACAGTTTTCGTAAATTGTTAAAATGATTTAAAGCAAAATCTACAAACATATTTTTACAATTAAATGTGCCTGAGTTCAACAGCCGCCCTCTATTTCATTCACATTCCGCAAACAATAAAACTCTCATCAAAAAATTCCTCTTTAGAAAAGTACTGACCTTTTGTTATATCTCAGTCTTGTAACGGTTCTTGTGTTCAAAATTAAGAATGTTAAGTCCGTACACACCACACTTTAATGATAATGAGCTTTATAACATTCACATTTATCAGCGATACAACGTACCAAAGAGATAATAATCGTGCAGTATCTACTGATATAAGCATATTACTAACTAGACAAAGTTCAGGTAGTTTGACAGGCTGCGTTAAGCCGTCATTACACTGAAAAACGGAAAAACATTAAAATCGAAGTAGTTTACTGTAACTCGAGCCATAAATTTTCTAAATTGCTCTTGCATAGAAAAGAAAGTCAAGAAGCAAACAAACACAAGAAATACATCAAATTATTCTAACTCAATCAAAATACCCGAAAGTGTACGAAGTGTGCCAACGTCTGCCAATTGTCCTCCCGCATGACTGCCGGTCCGTCGTTTGAGTTCGTCCAGCGCTTATTGGAAAGGGCTATGGCATTCTGTTTCCTGACAATTAAAATTTCGTTTTTTTTCCTTTCGTAATATAAGTACGAGTAACCTTTGACATCGTGGCGTCAAAACGCTGATTTAAAAATAAACATGTACACGTTTTGTGTTTTGGACAATCTTTTCACCGCACGTCGGCTTAGAAGTAATACTTTTAGAAATCAATGGGGGTCATTTTTCAATATTTGTCCAATAGAAAAAGGAAAAATTGTTTTCTTTTCGAATTGTATATTCCTCTCATAATGGGCTTTAGCTTGATCAAAATTAGCATATTGAAATCTTTTTTTAATCCCCGAGTAAGATTTTTTAAACATTCAATAATAAAATTAGAATTTAACCTTTTTTTACAGATTAATTTTCTTAGATAGCTTAAAGACAAAAAACTTTTTGATCATTCAGATCCCAGTAACCAACGGAAAAACTGCTCTCTGCAAGAAACGAGATGAATCCAAATTAATAAGCAAAGCAAACAATAAGATAAATAACATTTGTGACAAGAGGACGCCAATATATTTCGTAACACAAATTCTTTGTTTATTCTGCGATCAAACCTTCTAAGTAGTTTTTGTGTTGATCATCTTTTATAATTCGCCTCCACCGTAATTTGTTTGTTTTGTCTATACTTTGAAATGTCTTAAATCAAATACTTTTATGATTTCAAAAAAATGCTAATAATTTGTGAACATATGAACTTTATAAACTACATTAGGCGTATTTTACTTTAGGCCAGTCAAACGTACAAGTACGCGAGGAAGGAAATGTTAGGAGTACGGATTTAAGTACGTAGAGTCTTTCCTTCAATTAATGTAAAGGCTTTAGCCTTTTAATACAGTAATATATTGCTCTTAATACTTTTCGCTGGAAGTTAATTTCGCAGTAATGAAAAAGTAATAATTTGCCAAGAATTGTGCATTGCGAAAGGAATATTGTTTTGGGTATTAAGTACGGTGAAAGTTTTCTACAATATACAAAATAGTTTGCTATAAGACACGTGACCTTTAGCGTAAGCACGTCTGGATTTGCTACCATGTTCGAATCCCTATATTTCGTAGTGGTTTTAAAACGAAAACTTAAAATAGGTTGACTTTTAAGTTGCGACAAAGCAAGTTATCCGTCAGTTTGAGAATTCCTCTTCATTTAAAATCAAAAATCCTCAGTGCATATTACTTTTTATGTCATTCAATAGTTTTAGCTGATTGATGGTTTGTTTTACTAGATAACTAGAGAAAAACTTTTCTTTTAAAGTTTAAGCTGAGTCCAAGTATTATTATTGCAAAATCACATTTTATATTTGAATTGTTGAATAAATTATGAGAAAATGTATCTTGTAATTTTTTTCAGTGAAGTATTATGGGCTTCCAGAGGGCAAATAATTTTTTTTGGAAAGTTTATTGTATGCCCTTTCCAAAAAGGTATAGCTTTTTAAGCTAGGGTAAATAACAGTGGAGATATTAAATTTTTTTAAAATGTGTGGTCAAATTTGCTGTTTGCTCGTCTCCCAGAAATGGTATTTCTTTCGACGACCTAAAATACACGGAAAGATCTGCACCAGGGTAGTGCGATATGAAATATCAGATAAGCTTGAAATCTAACTGTTCGTTGTAGCTAGTCAGTGGAGGGGGCTGCAGGTTTGTCAGTTTACTGTTTAGCGTTACCCTCTTTAAATAAAGTTTATACATTTAACACTTTTGGAGCTGATCAATATCGTAGGTACATTTGATAGGACTGTAATCAGAAGCATATATGCTTCCGCTCTAATACACTTGGGCTGCTTTGCGTGGCTTTAAATACGCAAATGTCCGCGATTCTGGGAGAGTAAACGGTAGCACGTTTTTTTTTCGCGAAATTTTTTTTAATCGTCTGTCCTGTTTAAAATTTGGAATACGCATTTTAGATATAAAGTTTGTTAAATAACTAGTTGCAAAACGGAAGTATCAAAATTTGAACAGAGGAAAAAAATTAGCCAACCCAAGTGTTAATACTTTAAGGAATTAGAATAAACTACAAATACAAAGAATCACGTCGCAATAGAAGTTTGCTGGCAAATACATTAATTGCAAGTATTCCAGCGAAAGCTGGTGATCGACATGTAATGTTCACTATATTGAAGAAGCGTATACCTCGCAAATACCGGTATCAAGATTAGAAAGCAGAAGAAGAATCACCTTGTTATATGTAATTATTATTATACTTCTATCGCTCACTCTACTTCTGCTGCTAAAAGTGTCACTAAAATATTACTTCTAATATTGCCACTTTGCCTAGCTATAAGTATATAATGATAAAATCAATGCTCGCGTTTTAATTTCACACTGACGCCGCCATCTTGGATTCGCCATCTTGGCTTGTCTGGCTCGACGTCGATCGAAAAAGTAACCAAGTCAAAACTATTTACTCAGATTCTTTGAAAAGATAATAAAGTATAATCTTGCATTTGGACTACCAAATTTGCCAATAAATAATTTATTTAAGAACAGATGTGAAATTCAAAATTCAGCATAAGGTTGTCAATGCAATATCACAGGTGATCAACAATTAAAATTAAAAATTCTCTTAGGCGCCTAAATTTGAGAAAATCTTTTTTATGCATATTCAAGGCTATAAACTCTTTTTTTTCGACCTACCTACGGTAGTTTGCTTGTTATGCCCACGCCACAAACTACGCCGAAAGGATCTGAGGCAATTTTAATGCTAATGTTAACAGCTCTTAGATTATTTATTGCTAAATTTGGCTGATCAAACACCAGAAGTGGCCAATTTTTCCTGTCCGATAAGAAGCTGATTTTTCTAGCTGAAAGGTCAAATCGGACAGTTTAACAGCCAATGAAAATCAAGTATCAAATGTTGTTAGCCAATAAGGTGTAACAAATCAGTTCATGCTAGCAAATCAACGCTGAAAAAAAAATCTTCAGTGAGCAAGTTTTTCAGCTTCGGATTGACAAGTCTATTTTTTTTAAAAATTGTACCATTTAAAAAAAAGTTCCAACAGTTAGATTTCCATATGCCGATAGCTTCTCCAAACATTACAAGCCATGTTTTTGCTTTAGAAGCTGTAAGCTGATGTAATAAGAACTTTGTACTTTAATAAACATTCCAATCCTGAGATTCTCGCACTTTTGTATTGTCACACTTACTTGGTTATGACTTCAAGTCCAGAACAATTCAGGTTAATCACGCTTGTAATTTTAAATCTTTTTCTTACTACGTGTACGTGCTTGGTCGATTTGAAATTACTCCCTGAATTCAGTGCTCTCCACTCAGTACAGTATTACTATAACTAATTAGGTAACGGTTTACGAAGTCGAAGAGTCATAATAATATTTGAAAATCTACTCATTTGCGTTTTACAAACTAAATTAAGGTTGATTTTTGCGTTTTTCGTTTTTTTCACAGCACCTGGAAGTCGTTCCAATTTTTTTAAATAATTCGGGTGAGTTCACAGTAATAATAATAATATTCACTGTCTTTAACACACAACAATATTTCTTCAGTGGTCACAGTCATCGAGGAAAAACAATTTCTTTAAAGCAAATTATTTAGTTGACTCATTATAAACATAACAGCGAGCTACATTGCAAATAATAATTATGATTCCCTACTTTATATTGTTCATTTAACGCCAAAAAAATTACAACTTAAATTAGATTTCCTATTTTTATGTCACTGTGTAGGGGTAAAAACGTCTTTCACTTTATATGTCCTTTTGTTTTTCTTTTGAACTTCTAAATCGCTGCCCAGCACGGCTGCGCCCAAAAGGCATTCTAGTCAAACCTTTTCAATATACCATCTGTTTGAATTTCACATTCGCCAGGATCCTTGCCGCTTTAGCTAGGAAGCTAGCGAAGCAGAATAATATAGTTGTATAGCTGGTGCAAAACGCTATGGAAATTTTTTTTTTTTTCACAGTTCAGGGAATATTGTAAATAGACCAACGACAAAATACTTATGAGTTCACAAGTTCAATTTTTTTTTTCGTTGTTTAAAAAATAAAAACGTGACTAAAATATTGAAACACCATGAGGATGATGAATTCTAGAGAAAAAAAAAGCAAGATGGTAATTAATGACGTGCTTTATTTTTGTGAATTCATGAACTTAAGAAGCGGAAATTGAAAAGCCCTTTCGAAAAAAAACGCTTTTCATTGTTTTATTGAGTTTTAAAATGCAAGAAAGGGCAATAAAGAAAAAAAAAAAAGAACACACAAAAGAGTTGGAGAAGACTCTGACTTAAAAGAGTGTGAATCTTAAAAGTTAAAAAATGGCAACAGCATTGTTAACGCGCTTCTAGCGCGTCACATCTCTCAAACATTTGACCATTCATTTAAGCAGGTGTCATTATTAAATCCGTAGTCAAAAAACATACGCCAAGTACATTTTTTCTTTGCTTTGGAAACCAAAGAAACACAAGAACGCAAATGCTCCGCGTTTGGGGTTTAACCACTGTCAAAGATAAAGAAAATTTGACGACGAGTGAACTCTGTCGAGAAACAAAACACGACTAATGATTTTCTGCCTGATTACTATTGTGTTAGAGTGGTTTGGAATTTTCATCGTTCGCTGCGTTTCACTGCTTACAGCTCGGTTAAAGGGCAAAACTCACCTTGATCACTGCAATATTAAACGCATGCCGAATCATCTCTGGCGTAGATAGCCGATGCGCGTCGTCGTTATTTGACTTTCGGCGTCTATTGGCGGCCGTAAAGGCACCTGAATCACTATCCGTATCAGTTTCATAGTTTTCTGAGGCAGTATTGAAGAAAGATTCAACGCGGAGTCCGTTGTTTAGCGTCTGAGAATCTGAACTTATTGACTGCATTTTCGGTGTCCCCCAAACGGTTTATCTTCCTTACGCTGCGAATTGTTTACAATCTATCGCCAGTTGAGTAAATAAGATCCTGATGAATTTCCTCCATATGAAATCGTTTGACTTTAATGAAACCCATGCGATATGAGAGAAATTTGATGGATACCTTATTTCTTAGAAAAGAAGCAGTGGTCTATCCGCAAAAAAGAACTAATTCTTGTCAATTTAGGCGCTATAAATTATGCAAAACATCCTGTGCGCATTTTGATGTGTTTTTGTGGCGTCACTCGGCATGGAGTATTGGGATAGACGTCAAATTTAAGGAAAATCCGAAAAAAATAACAAAAACTAAATTACAAAACAAGGAAACGCAATTATATAGCTACAAGTTTTGGTGACAGTAACAACGCTAAACAATTTTTGTTTTGCTGGGATAAATTGAAAACAAACTTATATTTAATTTATGAGCTGGAGTACTCGGTTTTAAATTTGCAATAAAATCTCAATCAGTACAATCAGTATATTCGCATTCATAAATGAGGTCTTTCAAACCTCTTTAAAATATGAAGCGATTTTTTTTCTACTATTTTCTTTTTTATGTTTTTCATGTTTCCATTTAATCCAAACTCAGAATTCTGTAGGTAGGTGGAACTAAAAAAAGAACAAGAAAAATAAATTAAAAAAAAGAAAACCGATACAATTTATGTCGTTAATTAAGGACTTCTAAATATGTTGTTGAATAATGCATGGTTGTTGCATTTTTTCTCTAACATTACCTCAAAATCATTTGAATTATGAAACCAGCTGTTTAGACCTATGATATGTTGAAACGAGGTTAATTTTAGTGATATTCAACAAAAATCAGCCAAATTGAGAGTTAACCAAACAAAAAATCCAAATTTCTTTTTTTCTAAAATCGTTAGAAGTATAGACTTGCCAAAGTTCTAACAAAGATATTTCATTGAATAGTAACACCTACAATAGAATAAAAGAGACAAATAGAAAGCACAGATAAAATGATAAGTCATCCCACTGCAACAACCTGGGGATCGGAAAGGGTAACCTGCAAAGATAAAATATTGAGTGCCACACATGTTCTGAAAATCGCGGTAAACCGAAATAATTTATATAATTATGTACATATAATTTACACGTACTATCGTTTTTGAAAAATGAGCGATATCATTTTCTATCGATTTTTGTTTTCGAAATAAAACTGAGAAAGAGGGCTGAGAGCTTTTTCGGAAAAAAAATGTAAATAAAAACAAGACGAATTAAGCAAATTTTTGAAATTCCGCTGTGAACTCTTAAGGTTCGGAAAAACGGGGAACATAAAACGTGCAACCTGTCTTGCAACATTGCTGCAAAACGAGTGGAATAACGATGCTGCACGTTTTACCACCCAACGTTCAAACCTGTCTTGCAACAAATCAGCTTGTTAACAGGTTTGAACGTGAGTGGTAAAACGCGCAACACCGCGATTTAACTCAGCAATGTTGCACGACAAATTTCACGTTTCATGTCCATTGCCTGTTTTTCCGTACCTTTACATTTGGTTGTCATGAGTTGAATTCTTTTTGGATTCATCCTCGGTGTAAGAAACTTATGTGATACTCACGGGGACTTAAAAACAAAGAAAACTGCAAAAGAAGCCAGTCCACACAATAGACAGAAAATATAGCGTAGGAAACAAAAGGAGCAAAGGAAAGGAAACGTCCCTAGAGTTCTTACACTGAGGTTGACGAATTCCCTATTGGAAAATGGAAAATAGATTTCGGATAAATGAACAGAAATTAAGCATTAGAATGCCGTGGATTTATTTCCTGGATCCAACATACGCGTTCCGCATGCACTGCTGTCAGATGTCTATAAACGTAAACGCACAGTAATATCAAAGGTTTTCCACCACTAAGCAGATCGAATAATCTGTTTGCAGGAAGCGTTTCTGTAAGATTGTTTGCGTCATATGCATTTATTAATTATAAACTTACACATGGTGTTCAATTTCTACTCCAGAACCGCTTCCGCGCATGACAGCACGTGACGCATGAAATGACGCAGATCAGTGCGATTTTCAGTAGATCTGAGGTTAATTAACGTGAGGAAAAGATACAAAACAAAACAAAAAACACATATAAAAACAAAATAGGAAAATGAATATAACAGCTGGTCAGAAGATTTATTTTTCAAGAGCTCAAAAGTCCATGAACGTGTGATGAGCAGCTTCTGCGGCCGGTGCTTAAAACCTTTTTTCCTATAGCACGTACCATTTAATATATCTTTTTTTAAAAAAGGAAATTAAAATGTGCTCGTGTAATTAAGGAAACTTAATAATGTTTTTCCTAGTTCAAAAAATATTTTTAAGTATTCTCATTTGCACAGTGGTCTGATCAATTCTTTATAAGACCTTAAAAAAAAAGATAGTAAAGTCTTAAAGGGTATACGTAAGACACGAGAGAAACGGTTTGGTGCGGAAAGATTAAAACAGGCAACAGACTATAAAACATGTGCAGGTGCAAGGGATTATAATTTCTTGTAATTTGTTGTTGGCGTGCGTTATCAAGATGACATGGTATTTTCCCCTTTATATGCTAAAGCAATCTAACATTTTCATTTGGACAGCTTAATCATGTGATAAGGTCTTAGACGTAATAGTTCCCTCGCATAGTCAGTGATTAGAATTGGCTGATTTTTTTTTGTTTTTCAGGCGCCCCAGACCACGGACCCGGTAGTGCAATGGTTGGAGCAATGGCCGAACGACATCACCATACTTAACAGAGCCGGAGTGCTGATTTATGATATTCCAGTAGGAACAAATATTTTTATTTTTTTACATCAGTGGGCGAGGAATGCATCAAAAGATTATTTCTTTTATCCTCGGCTAAAGCACATTCTATAAGTATATACAAGAAACTGTTTTAAATCAGCATCATTGTTTTCATGTGGTATAGGGGCGGTCTCAAGTAGATCTGTAAAGAAAATGTATCAAAACAATGTATTTATATAACTGTTATTTGTCAGAGGTTGAGAACCAACAACCTAGACTTGTCTGCGAACCTTTTTCAAGCGACAAAGTCGTAAGAAGTCGTTCGTCCTGACTGATCACCTATAACGGTCTTTTAGAAAGTCTTTAACGATGAAATCCTGGATACAAGTTCATTTGAAGCTCTTTTCTGAAGATTTACTAACCCTCGGACGTACACGCAAAGTCATAGCCCCACCGTGGTACAGAAATAGGGGTTGATGGACCCCCCCGTTTAGTTTTTGATGTGTTCCAGTATTTCGAAACGATTTTGCCTTCAGTGGAAAGCCTTTGATTTTCTTCAGAGAATAAGATGATGTACATTTTATGGGTAGTGGCGTTGTTGGCGGTCTGTGACGTCACCAAACATAGTCGCCATCTTGGATTTTTTCAAGAATTAGAAATCAGGTAAAAACAGTGAGAATTAATAATTTTTTGCGCTTAACATGTAAAATAAGACATCAATAATTACTCTGCATCATTTTCCCACAAGCTGCACTTTTATTCCTGAAAGAAGTTGAAAAAACATGCACTTTCACTCAAAAATGGATGGCCACCTGCTACTTATGACGTCATAGCTTGTAACCATAGTGACTAACCATCACTAAACTTGTCTCAAAATGGGCGGAAGGATAAACGAACAGCTACAGGAAACTTCAGGTGCTGGTGCTTTAACGTCTAGGAAAAAAATCAGAAGAACCTTGAAGTTGGGGGGGGGGGGAGGGGGTGGTTTCCACCACCCCTTGTACGTCGGAAGGTTACGATTTACGATTTATTTGACATTTCATACCAGTAGCAATGTTAGCACTCATTTTCAAATGAAACTAGCATCTTCAGAAACTTACATTTAGCCACGCTAATCCTCTAGGCTTTCTAGGTTTTCTAGGTTTTCTAAATCTACTTATTTACTAGATTTATATTTTTCGGCAAATAGATGTTTCAAGGGGTATTAACTTTCTTAACAGTATGGCGTTTAAATACGGAGAACAGATGCAGCCGAATGGAATTCAACTTAAACTTCAAAAAAACCTTTTTGAAGGAAAAAGGAAGTTGGAGTTTTTGTCGAAAACATGCGTCTGAACCTTGTAATTAATTAAGTCCTTAGATTAAGATTTCAGATTTTTCTTGTTTTGTTACATTACCAGGAGTATATTTTTATACATTTATATAATATAACACTGCCACGTGCAATCAATTAACTGGTGTAAACATAGATCACATAAAATTATCCAAGAAATGTGGAATGAAAAAGAGTGTTAAGTCCTACTAACATTTTTTATGTCAAAACATTTAAAAATAGGTACGAAACGTCAAGTTAAAAGTTTTCTGATTTTTTCTTCCCCCTATTCACCATTTGCACATCTCTCATAATACACCATGTTTGCGCCCCAAAATTTGCATGAGCGCGAGATTTTCCAAAAATTTTCCCGTAATATCTCAAAAAGTTGCTCAAAAGCTGCTCGAAATAACAAAATTTTTTGGGTCTGATGCTAAAATATGCAAATTGTACAACAAAAGTAAGATTTCTAAGCATTTTTGTGTAATTTCTCGGCGTAAACAGCGTTGCTAAATAACTATGTCATCAGTTAAAGCCAAAAAATGTAATGAGCCATTAATTTTTTATTTAATAGACAACAAAGGGTAATAGCTGATGGAGACACGACCCCTTTTTTGCCTAAAAACAGAGGTGTGCCTCAGGGCACTATACTTGGACCCATCGTGTTTTCTGTAATGTTAAATGATATACAAGCTGTTGATTGAGACGGTTCCACATTGGTTAAGTTTGCGGATGACCTAACTATAAGCGTTTTGGTAAAGGGAATCCAGGACCACGCTCCCCAAGAAGTGCAAAACATACTCAGTTGGGCCCAGGACAACCCTATGACTATAAACCTTACTAAAACTAAGGACATGGTTGTTAAGGGTAAAGTTGAGAGACCCCTTCCCGATGTCACATTTGATGTCAAACAGGAAGAATTTCTTCAGCTTT